TGTGTGTGTGTGTGTGTGTGTGTGTGTGTGTGTGTGTGTGTGTGTGTGTGTGTGTGTGGGTCATTTTTCTCCTTCTCTAAACATTTGCTTTCACTTAGGCCTGCTTGCTTCCCATTGACATCCAGTGTTTATTTACAGAATTTCATTGAGCTGTCATTACTACAGACATGTGGGTAAAACACATCTGGGCCGGATCAGGACCAGAGGAAGGTGTGGAGGGAAGTGCGTCTGTGCATGGGAAAGTTTTTAGTCACGGTTATGAGGTAAAAACACACACACACACACACACACACACAGCTTAATAACAGTAAATCAGTTTGTATGTGTGAGTCAGAGGATTTCACTCGAACTGAAACCTGACATTTTAGATCACGTTACAGCAGGAGGGTTTGTAAAGCTTTACAGGCTTTCATACTCCTGTTAGCAGACAGTCCACGAGCTACTGGGTGGAAAACATAGAGGAGGTACTCTGAGGAGTGGAGGTGGTGAGGGGATGAATGCTGCATACCTCCCTGATCTGTCCTTTCTCAGTGCTCGCCTGTCCCACTGTGATCTTCCTCAAGAAACGGTCGTTGGTATCAACAACTGAAAAACAAGAAGACAGAGATTCTGTCACAGAAGCTACGACTCTGAACACAAGAAGTGTTGTAACATGAGTGAGACGAGGCAAAGCTCATCAGATCTGACTCCGTATCACACTGAGAGTGTGTTTACAGCCTGAGTTTAACACACACACACGTTAAACACACTTTGTTGTGTGTGAATGCTGGCACAGTGTGAACGGACATCCATAAAGGATTCACAGTGTAAAGATCCTCTTCAGTATATTAGTAATGCTTCACGTGTCCCCAGAGTGTGTCTTTCAGATGTCCAGCTCAAACACTGCTCATGTTCCCACGTCATGCTAACCCCTGGCTTTAGTCCTGCTCTGAAGGGGCTGCTTCAGGGTCGGTAGCTGCTGCTGTCCTCGGCCCGCTCAGGGAGAAGAACTTCTCTGCACGTGATGGACACCATGGAGCAGAACGGCAGATATGTAGAGGAGTGCATGAGACCAGGACTTCCTATTGTTTCTTTTGGACTATTTTTCATTGAAGCATCACCAAACTCGTAGCCCTTGTTTCTAACTCGTGTGTTTGTTGGACAACGTCATAAAACCAGCAGTGGCTCTGAAGTGACAGCTCGTTAACATGGAGTCTTAACGAGCTGCTTTTCATTCTGGTTTTATAGTCTGACAACGGAAACAAACAAATATGTAAATGGAAGAGCTTCATTGTGAATTCAGCAGTAATAAAATATGGTACAGGTCAGCACAGGCAGCAAGACAGAAGCAAACCAACACCGAGCTGAGGCTGGACCTAACGTAGAATCCATCCGTCCCATTACCTTTACTGGTTTCTAACTGGTCTTAAAGTGATCACCATCTCTAAATGTCCGTCAGCTGTAACCTGTGGGCACAAAGCTAAACAATGTGTACAGACGTCCTGCTGCTGTGGTGAATTTGCCATCCAGAACAACAGCAATCCAGCAGATCTGGAGTTGCTCAGATGCAGGGAGCGCATGAAGACTCTTGCGTTCACTCTTGCAGCCAACAGCAGAACATCTGGTTGGTCTTCATCGTGGCCGAGACACTTTAGAGTTCACAGCAGCAGCAGCACTCAGACTAATCGCTGATAATGTGGCTAAAAGCTCGTTACTCTGTGGCCACACGTTGGTCTAATCAGCCCAGAAGGACATCCTGGTCAAACACGACCACGCTGCTGGCCTGGTGTCATGACAGAAGAAGTGAAAAACATGGTTTGTTTCATGAACACAGTCACACCCACACAACATTAGGCGGTAAATCTGTTTTTAATCTCCAGGGTTCGTCTCTTCAGAATGCCCTCTGGAGCCAGGGCAGTAAATACCCCATCAGTCATAGCAGCCCCCAGCTGCTTGTTCTCAGCGACCACTTCAAACCAGCACGGCTAGCGCTGCTGCTGCTGCTAATGCTATGCTATTATATAACCATCCTGCCCACTCCGTCGTCTTGTGACTGACCAACGCACAACTTCAGCATCAGATGCACTAATCTAATATGAACTAACTTTAGAATTCACAATATCAAAAAGGAAAACACATTCAGCTTCATGACTGCATGTGACATTACTCAGGAATTACACAATGAGACACTGACTTTATAAAGCATGGGATGTTTGTCAGAACATCTCTGCTCTAAATTAGATGTGTGTGACGGTCATGACAATGCTTTGGACGTCCCACTGCTGGATGCTGCAGAACTTGCAGATGAAGCTTTGAAATAACACGAGTTTGGTACACAAAAAATAAAAAATGCACAAACTAGCAGGTGACAAAATATTCTAAAAATACAGCGTGTCCTTTCAGTGTGAGCTGTGAGAAGCAGTGGTCCACACAGATGTTTGTGTCAGTGAGGCTGGAGGTCCAGAAGACGGTACCAAGAGCTTTGTGTTTGTGTGCTGTAGAGATACCTCTCTGCCAGGTGATCTTCGACGGGTCAAGATCAAGACGGACAAAGGCGCTGGTTTCTTGCGGTGAGAGAGCTGCGGGGTCTGTTTTAAAGATGCCAAGACGCTGGAATTAAAGAGAAAATAAAGACTGTATGATCCTCTCTTTGGCACCGCCTGTGATTTCATTTTATCTAAAAGAAGTCCAGACAAATTATTATCCAGGCACACAGAACAGAACCAGACTAATGACTACGAGGTGATTGACTTACTGTCAGGTTCAAGAGGTTCAGCGGGAGTGCTCTGCTTAAAGCACAACTCTTTATCTCCTGCTCTGTCTGCTAAGGCCAATAAATATTTTATAGCCCTTTTAACTTCTCATCAAAGAGACTGTGATAGAACAAGGCAAACACTGAGTCCAGTTCTGTTCAAACTTTTCCCTCTTGCCTCCAGAACATCCATCATGTTTCCTCTGTAGGAGCACATCAGGACCACAGAAAACAGCATCACTCATGCAAACTGGACTTTCATTAGGCAGAAATAAATATCTGGCGCTGAGGCCACAGAGGAAGATGAGAGGGGCAATTTAAAATAAGCTCGCTGTGGCCCCCTAGTGGACAAAGTAATCCATACACAATAAGTGATCGTGGCGCTGCTGGGTTCAGACTTACGTGTAGCCTGGAGATCTGGATGGGTGAGAATCTTCTGACTCCATTCACTGCAGGGACCAGCCTACTAAACAGGCCCTTGGTGGTTCAACAGAAAACAATCATTTTATTATGTACATGCAGATAAAGTGCATTTTATCTGACTTTAGGGACTGTCTGAGGCTGGCCCTCTGAATCACAAGCAGTGATTTGCTCCCGTCACATTTCTACATACAGTGGGCATCACAAAGTCCTGCATCGCCATGGAAACGGTATGGTTAGAACGAGTGACAAATAGAAATATCTGTTGTGCAGTATGACAAAGGGATGATGTCGAAAATCCTAAAAAATAAAACCTAATAAATGTAATAAATTTCTTTGATTATTTATTTTATAAAACTTGTAAAAACTTGGAATAAACATGTACAACATTTTTCCAGAAGTCCTGAAAAGTTACCAACACTGGAAACAAGCTGGTGGCGCCACACACTGAGATATTTCACCAGTTAAATGAACTGGTGTGCTGTCTGTGCTGCTGAAACACAGCCTCCAGTCCAGCCCAGCTCAGCTGAAACGTCCATGAAGTTTTGACTTTTGGTCGGAGCTGAGTCACTGCTACGTGGAGGAGTGCAGAGTTTTTCATTTTTGGGGGTTTTACAGTTTTTTTAGTGGCAGTTTTTTTTACATAAGACAGGTAGAATGAAGTGATCATGATTTAAGCTTAGATCTGTCTAATAGCTCATCACAGGTGAGTCATTCAAGGAGCAGTGAAGAGCAGAAAATCTTGTGATGTTTTCTGTTTTTACAGTTTCTGGTTCTGACTGATGGTGTGATTCAGGTTTTTAAAGACGGCCTGTCTGTCAGACTGGCAGGCTTCACAGAACTACAGCTATCCACTGCAATCAAAACACTAACATCAGGACTCACTTCATTTAAAAGCTACTCCTGAATACTTTGCACTTTCCTTCTGATAATAAATCCAGCACATGGTCCCACCTTGTCGGACTGCGTGGCCTCGTGGAGCATCCTGGCATCGACGGCTGCAGCCACCAAGTTATTGGCTGCTGTGATGGCGTGAATGTCACCTGTCAAATGGAGGTTGAACTAAAGGGAAGACATGAAAAAAGAGAATAACAAGTTAAGTAGAATACAAAATAAGGGTGAAGGGATGGAGGATCAACATGCTATCGAAGGAATGTGTAGGACTGGACGACTGAACACAAAACAACGAGGGTTAAATGAAGTCGCCTCACTGTGGTTCAGATTCTGTCTTTAAACATATTACGACACATCTCCTATTAATTTGACTGAAGCTCGTTAATTTAAAGGAAACACAACATGTCATGTTTTACAAAGAGCAGTGAGGAGGAGGAGGAGGAGGAGGAGGGGTGGTGAGAGCCGGCCGCAGGAGGCCGCCTTGAACCCCACCCACCTCCCTCCTCCACCCACCTCCCTCCTCCTCCACCTCGGCCCTCGTCCCTCTGGCTTTATGGAGTCACAGCTGCAGCAGTCAGGATGTGTGCTGGTGTGTCTGTTGTATGAACTTTGAAGTCTGTGCTCGTCCTGCTCGGGAGCACACGAGTCTGTCTGCATGTCTTACCTCCTCCATAGGGATGACCTGGGCATACCCCCCTCCTGCAGCTCCCCCTAGGCACAAAGCAGAGGTAACACAGTCAGGGGCAGACCAGGAGACAAGGTCACACCAAGGAGCAGCGCTGGACCCTGAATGAACTCCTCCACCTCAGAATCAGTGCATGAGGGAGAGGAAACGCTGGCCTGATGCTGACACAGACCGATTATCTCTCCGTTACTCTAATGACAGTCCTAAGTGCTGGATCAGGTGCTAGTCCCAGGCCTTGTTCAGATGACTGTGTTCAGAGATTTCATTCCCGCTTCGCCTCGGCTCTCTTGCTTGAGATAAATGTTGGTACTGATTGGACCGTCGAGGGCTTAAAGATTTAAATATTAACCACATTATGTGAACAATGATTATCGTACTTATTCAGTCATTTGAAAAAACCAGCGGAGCCTCATCACAGCGGCCTCTCAGATGCTGCACGTATGACTAAGACTTAAGCCAGGGGTCTCAAACTCGTGGCATTTTGTGGCTCCTGTTTGGCATCAAAGTTTAACGTTAGTGCAACCCGTGTGTTTTTCTCAGTCGTTGGCCCGGGCGGTTTAGACTTTTATCACTTGTGGGCTACCGTAGCTCAGGCTCAGGACAGCAACGCGAGTTAGCAACGCGAGTTAGCAACGCGAGTTAGCAATGCGAGTTAGCAACGCTAGTCACCTGAAAGGTGATTTGGGAGGGTCACTGAGTGGAGGGACATATCTCCTGTCAATGCATGTTTTGTTTTTTTTGTTTTGCTTTTTTCTGTCTGTGTGAAAAGTTCTTCTCCACCATGAACTTTCATCAGAGTGCAGGTCCAAGCTCACTGATGAGCATCTTCAGGCCACACTGAGGGTCTCAGGTGCTTCCTCCCTCCAGCCAGATGTGGGCCAGCTGTAGCAGGAAGCACTGCAGGTCTCTAGCTGCAAGGAGCAGGCAGGAGGAGCCGATGTTCTGGAGAACCTTTCATGTTCTGAGTTGTTATGAATAAAGACTGAGAGGATTGGATCTGTTGGACTTTTTCTGGAATACTTGAAGCCCTTGTTTTGTGGAAGGCCTCACCCAGACTCTACCTCCAGCAGGTACGTTGAGCTGGAGACCCCTGACTTAAGCACTCGTTTCTGACCTTTAACTCCAAAGGTGGGTCCTTGAGACGGCTGGCGGAGGCAGGCGAAGGAGTTGCGCTTCAGGTGGGCAGACATGGCCTGGACCAGGCCGATGGTCACGGTGCTTTTACCTTCACCCAGTGGAGTGGGAGTGATGCTGGATACGCAGAAAACATGAAACAGTTTTTCATTTCATATTTGAACGTGATTCAATCGCACACATATGAACCGTTCCTCAGAAACACATGGCAGTCTGTGTCCAAACTACAGAGCATCTCTGGAGGGCAACTCCACAGAGAACAGGGACTGACCGAGCACTAGGCAGGGTTTTGTTAATGTGATGAGCTGAAGCACTAGAAGGAATCTATCAGGGTTTAGCTGATCAGTAAGCAACACTCACCCGGCTACCAGCACGTATTTGCCATCAGGCTGCGCGTGGAGGCGATCTAACAGGGAGAGCCGGACCTTAGCTTTGTTCCTGCCGTAAGCTTCCAGCTCTTCTGGCAGCAGACCAATCTCCTCGGCCAGCTGAGTCACTGGTTTGGGCGTCTGAGCTCTGGATATCTCGATGTCACTGATGAAGCAGGGAACATATTCCACACTCAGCCTTGTTCATGCAACACTCAAGTTTGGTTTGAAATATTCTGACTGAACGGTTTAACGTAGCTCCACTGCTACTCCTCTTGTGCTTTACAGATCGATGGCTATACCTCGGTACCGGCGTTAGCGGCTGCAGTCTGAGGCTGTGCAGACACCAGGCTCGGTACTGCTGCTCCTGGAGCCACCGACTGCAGCTACGCACCACATTCTGATGCACAGGGAAAAGAGAGGCGAGAGAACAACATCATAAGTGACAGAGGCAGGATAGAGGAGCAATGATGTGGACAGAGATGCAGACTGAGAGGCTCACCTGTGTTCTGTATGCAGCTGTGAGGTGTCCCAGTCCAGACTTGGACGACAGGCCGAAGGTATCTGAAATGAAACGAATGAGTTTCATAAATGAATGCACAAATTAAATGAATATATTCACACACAAACAAATGTGTGGCAGGAGTTGGACAGAACATGAAGATAGAAACACTTCTGAGTTTTAAACTGCTACTGAAGTCATCACTTCATCTGCACTTTCCATTTCTTTATGTTTCCTGAGTGACTGTTCTGGTGTGTGTTTATTTGTGGCCGTGTGCTGCTGCCTCTCTTTGCCAGGTCACGCTAGTGAAAGAGGTTTCGATCTCAGTGGGTCTTTATCTGGTGAAATAAAGCTAAAATAAAATAGAAACAGCACAGAGGAGGCATGCTCTGTCTCCCTGTGCAGGATGATGCTAACGTCAGCAGGACACAGCCTCTTCATAATAAACTAAAGCTGCATATCCCTCCATCATCTATAAAGTGTGAAAACCACCCTAAACCCTACACATACCTGCACTACTCTGTCCTTTCACCTGACAATAATGTCACTGACTGCATCCTGACAGGCCAGCAGGCAGGACTAAACTCATCTAAAGTACTTTGTGTGCAGCAGCAAGCATTTAAAATCCAAGCAACATGTGATGACAGAAAAATCTACTTCATTTCCACCACAGCTCAGGCCCATGCAGAGTAAGCAGATGTTCAGTCATACCTGTGTCCAAGGTGGGCTCACAGCAAATGATAGCAGCCCCCGGTCGAATCCAGGTGGGTGGAATCTCCACGTTTGCTCCATCCAGCAGGACCACAGCATCAGCCTGCATCACCTGCAACAAAGTAGGAGAGAAGAAATGAAAGATAAAAGTAGAAAAAAAAAGAAGCCAACTGTGGAGTTTAGAAGATTTAAGGGTGTTGAGGATGAGTGACAAATAAAACCTCTCCAGAAGAATGTGACTGATATCTTTCCATTGGACCAGAACTACCGAGTCAGTTCTGGTCCAACTGATCGTGTCTCATGACACCGCGTCATAAAGCAGACGCTGCCACCATGTGGTCAGTCGCTGACACTACACATACTGACAGCTCAGTACACAGAGCCTGTGAGGTACTGACTTATGTAGTAAAGTTTGACAAATTAATTCCCAAACACGGACAAAAGAATGCCGTCAGAAACTGTCAGTCTGACGACAGACAACCTACACATGATGTACAGGCTCCTCTCAGGTCAAGAGAATAAAACAAAAGAATGATAAATGCATCCAAGCTGACCTGTCTCTGCAGGTTGTCGGCGTTCCAGCGGCTCTTCAGAGCTACCATCCCACTTCTTTCAATCAGGCACTGCAGGGTCAAGCAGAGGGGTCCTTCTCCTCCAACCAGCAACACAGTCTTCCCTTCCAGAGGGGCGTCTGTGGAAATGTTTAAATGATCAGTGAAAATGTCCTGAGACGTTTTGGTTTCACAGCCTCAGCATTCAGTAACTTAGGACTGATCTGTCTTTGCAGAAACTCACCGTGTTTCTCAAGCAGATCCAAAACAGCGCTGGCTACAGGCGGCACAAAGCCTTTGCTCAGGTCTCCTCGCACCAGGCGGCCCATATTCAGATCTGTGATCCTAGAACAGAACCAAACAGACAAATTCATTGAACTCCTTGAAGCTGGTCACTTTTTAACAGCTTCAGCATTGAGATCATTTTGTACTTTCTATTTCATCCTAAAAACAAAGACGTTTGCTGTCAGAAATCAAAAGCAAACTGCAGCTGTTCTTCTGTCCTTCAGAGGCCTGACGCTGTTGGGATCATTGGTCCTGTACTGACCCAGTTCTTCAGCTTGTGGTGACTATGAAGGAAGCTTTGTTCATGTTCTCATTCGCTGTCTGCTGAAGACACACACTGGACATTTAATCCTAATTCTGTGCAGCCCGTTCTGATTTGAGCGACCACGTGAGTGAACACAGAAACACAAACGATGCCCTCCATCTGCTCGGTGCTGCACAACCACGTCAGCTGCTCCGAGTGTGGTTCTGAGACAAACAGCCCACCGCTAATGCTCAGAGTGACAGAACTTCAACAGCATGGCCAAGAGGAGAAGAAATACAGAAAGTTCAGCTACCACACTAGCCTCTCTATGCATGTAGATGTGCAGGTGTTTACCCGTCTACGTCCTTCTCAGGTCTGAGCGTGTTGAGCACTCGGCTGGTGAGGGAAGCCGGAGGGAGGTGGAGGTAGACGCCATGCACCCTGGGGTCATCGTTCAGCTTCAGCAGCTCCTTTACAATCTACACACAAAGGCCAACACACACATTTTAGATGCACATACTGTCTACGATGAGTCTACAGAAAATCCTACCAGTCCTGTAAGTTACCGGCTTCTGCTCTTTAAAGAGCCTGAACACAAGGAGGGGAAACAGCTGAACCTCCAGCATGTCACAGGTCAGTGCTGCTGATTCAGCAAAGTGAAAGAAGTGAAAATCCCAGAGGGAGGGGGACCGAGAAGAAAGGAGGAGAAGATGTGTGAAAGTAGAGCAGAAGATCAGCAGAGAGGTGAGTTCTTCTCAGGCCAGGAGGTTCTAACATGAATCACTGTCAGCTCAGATCCTAGGCTATTCCCAGGAATGTCTTCCTGTGATCAAGAGTGGACCTCCAGCTGAGCAGGACTTCTCTACATAACACCAAAGAACACCATGAGGTGGAACAAAACCACCACAACATAAAAGGAAATGAAACAAATGAAGATTAGTCATTAAACAGTGCTGAAATTCTGACTTGTAGTTCAGTAATGACTCAGCAGCACACGGGTCTGGGTGAGCCTCCAGAACCCTGAACACCTAACCACCGTGATGCTCACACACCAGCAGGAGAACGGTGGAGTCATGCAGCGACTTGTCCGCGACATTAAACTCATCTGTGAGTCACTTACTTCGTCTTCGCTGCATTCCTTTGCCAGACAGATCTGAGTGACGTCCAAACCAATCTGTGGAAACACAGACGGGAAACTGGTTCAGACACTTTGTTGATCTGAGAAAAAGCAAAACCTAAATGGAAAAGATGAGAACTAAATTCAGAGAAACCAAGCAGCAGAGCCGACGTACCTTTCCTGCCATCTTCTTACTGACCTCCAACACGCTGTCATCTTCACCTGCCTTGGAGATCAAACAAGCACACTGAGACGAACACACACAAACCTGATGATACAGCGGCTTTGGTAAAAATAGAAAACCCCGGGTCAGGGTCAGGGTCAGGGTCAGCTCAAAGGTGAGCTAACGTCCCTTCTAGTGTAACGCTGCTCTGTCAATGAAAGCAGATGGAAGTCTTACGTTGTACATAAAGAAGTACAAAGCCCTCCCTGTACCAGGGTTTCTCCATATGATACCTGTAGAATGGCCAGCACAGGCTGGACTGCTGGATTTCTTCTCTGCAGGGTCACCAGGGCCTCCTTAGTGCTCTGGACCACTTCACTGTGAGAGAAAACAACCTGGTTAGTTATATCCACTAACCGACACAGGAAAGGAACAACTTTCTGTGAGTGTAAAATGTAGAGAACAGCGACAGCAGAACCATCTCAGACTCTTTCATTTGCTGAATTCAAACAAAATATTGGTGATCTATGATCAGCAGCTTCCTACGGTGGCCCTAAGAGGTCAGAGCACTGCAGGAAATACCGACAACGCAACCAAACACCGACTGACCGAAGGAGACAGACGGCAGCAACAACGGTTCTCATGTAAACGTTTAAAGAAGCTATGAGCGCTGTTTGCTGCTGTAGTGGTGAACTGTGGAGGAGGATCTGCTGCAGTGGGAAACTGGCTAAAAGGTAAGACCTGGTCTGTCTGTGGGCGATAAGGGTTCATCTAAAGCTACGGCTGCAGCAGTTCTTGTATTTAGTCGGGTTTCTGGTTTCTGGTCTGTTCAGTGTTTTGACTGTTTTCTCACTTTGCAGATTCTTTTCTCAGCGTTACAGACGTGTTGTCAACCTGCTGATGAGGTTTTCTTAGTTGCATGCGCTTCCTAAACTGTATTCAGCTCCTGGTACCAGCACAGGTTCCCCGAGGCCGGGCCAACCAGTGACGGCAAGACAGCTGCTCGACAGGCATCTGATGCAAACCACGATGAAACACATTAAAAACATCCAAAGTTTACCTGCATAAACAGCCGACAGGTGTGCCCTCCCTGGACCAGAGCAGCCTACCAGATGATAACAGAGATCCCTGTTGGATCCTTACAGTTTCATTTAGCGGACGCTTTTATCCAGAGCGACGTCCAAGCTGCTGCTGCCATCAGGAGCAACTTCAGGTTCAGTGTCTAGCCCAGAGACACTTGGACTGAGGAGGATCAGGGGATCGAACCTCCACCCTACCACCTGAGCCAGAGCCGCCTGAGCAGGTCTCCTGATAGACCCGACATCCTGGGACTCTCCTCATCCCCGTCCAAGCACGCAGACCCAACTTCTAAAGCATCTACCGATACTTCTGTTTCCGTGGTACAACTCGTCACGCCTGCTCAACCACTTATGAAAGTTCAATGAAAATAGGTTTTCATGACCAAGTACTTTACATTAAACAGTATTGTGTGTTTCATCAGGTATCACGCTGACGTGCAGCTACATGAGGTCCAGAGAACACCACCAGTCGACTTCTTCATTATCAATACTGACATTAAAATGAGCTCAAAGATGGGTTGACCTTCATGACTCAGCTCACCCACAATCCAGATGATCTACTGAACCAGTCTTTGGATCAGGGGCATGATGACAAATAACAGCGAGATGTTCTGTTATCTTCATCGGTGAGTGAGATATGACACCACCTGCAGCCACGGTCAAACCTCTGCAGACGGTCCAGAACCAGCAGCACATCTGGTCTTCAACCAGCCAAAAGCAGCACACGTCACCCCGCTGTCCAGATCCATCACTGGCCTCCATCAAATCCAAACCCTGACACGTGCTTACAGAACCACAGAGAGAACATCTCCTCCTGCCTGAACTCTCTCCATCAGGTCTACACACCCTCTGCTCACTAACTGGACCAACCAGAACCTCCTGGTCCAACCACCACAACAGGTCCAGGTCGGTACCTGGACTCTCCTCCTCTGTGGTTCTGGTGGTGGAACCAGTTACCAAACTGCTCAACCTGCTGACTCCCTCTCAGTCTGTAGGAACAGACTGAAGAGCAGCTCTTCACTGGACAGGCTGAAGGCAAAAGATAAAACATCCTGTCACCTCCCTACAGCCTGCTGCTGGCACCAGCGCCCGTCACACTGGACCTGTTCTAAGGCTCTGATCTAGATGGTTCTCTCCTGACCAGATCCTTGCTGGATCTGCTCTCAGATGGACGTCCTGTGGATAAAAACATCTGCTGATGAAACTGTAGAACAAACGCAGCCGTAGTTCCAATGTACAAGAAAACCTGCTTAAAGTGGATCTAAGGGTGGTTCTGAAAGTTTAGCTTCACCTTGTAATGTATTTGACACGTCAATCTAATATCCAGGATAAATAGAAAAATAAGTTTCAGTCAGATCAGAGATGTTGGAGCAGAAGGCCCGGTACAATCTGCAGACCTCTAACAGGTGAGTGGTGTGGCCAGGTGTGCTGCTTTTAGCTCATCTTACTGGATCTAAATGACTCTTAAAGGAGCAGAACAGATACAGAGACATGATGTGGGAGGAGCTACAGGTAACACACTGACCTACATGTGGTCCACTCATGAAGCTCCGTCTGCAGCTCATCATCTGCTCGGTCCACTTTACTCCGTTTATATACACATATATATAAATACACGATGTGAAGCAGTTGTACTACAACATACACCAAATACAACCGGTACTGCAACACAATGACGTGTCCTTACAGCAGAACTTCAGCATTACAAACACACCCCAGTGGGCTCGAACCGAACACTTCTGGTTCAGTTTCAGCATCTTCAGCTCGTTTGGCAACACCAGCCCGGTGTTACATCAGCTGGTCCGAGCCGGGACACGTGCAGCTGGTCAGGAGGCGGACCAGACCGGTACCGGTCATCACTTCGGCTCACTACCAGCCGCTAGAAGCTACTTTGAAACAAGCAGAACTACACAGAAGACGGAACCTGCCGCCATGTGCCGCCCCTTGAGCCGTGATTACCTCACTGAGCTGCCGCATCCAGACCCGTCCTCCTCCTCGGGCTGCTTGCCGAGGTCCACGGTGAGCTTCTGGCTGGAGCCGCTGCTGGAGGTCCCGCTCACCGTCCGGAGGATCAGCCGGCGGTCGGTAGCTCCAACCGGCAGGCATCTCCGAGAGGAGCCGACGAGCCTGCTTCCTGGACGGGCTGCTTGTCCCCGAAGACTCCCACAGGCGCTGCGAAGAAGAGCCAGCCTCATGCTGCTTCCTGCTCTCACTGCTTTGTCTGTCTGCTGGCGGCTCGGTCGGGTTCTGCTCGGCTCGTCCTGCTGGCGGCTCGGTCGGGTTCTGCTCGGCTCGTCCTGCTGGCGGCTCGGTCGGGTTCTGCTCGGTTCGTCCTGCTGGCGGCGGCTCGCGACGCTCAACCGGAGGAACAGAAACAAAGTTGAGGTGATGGAGCTACGATGTCTTCACGGGCGCTCGGACAAATCACTACTCCGATGTCGGCGCGCTTCAGCAACTCCAAAACGTGACCAATCCCCCACAGAGAAAGGCCCTGTATGAAAGCACGGACTGCTGAGGAGACACGTGAATGTCACGCTGTGGGAGCGCAGCCCACAGCTCAGCAAATCAAATAAAGTAATTAAATGTAAAATACTCCCGTTCTAGTCCCTGCTCTGACATCCGCACTAAAGCTGGTTTGCTTGATATGTTCAAAAACCACTTGAAGCCCCACATTTTGAACCAGCTCTATGCTCCATTGTTAAAGTAGTTTGTCACTGTTTTAGAAGTGTTCACTGTAAAATCCGACGACACGTGAAAGCAGCAGCCTCACCAGAAGGGAATTGTGCTAGCAGGCAAGAAGAGGAGGTCACGTCAGGCCACGTGGGGCCACAGGCCACAGGCCACGTGGGCCCACAGTCCACAGGGGTCCACATGGGTCCACAGGCTACAGGGGTCCACGGCCCACAGGGGTCCATAGGGGTCCACATGGGTCCAGGCTGCAGGGGCCCATGGCCCACAGGAGTCCATGGCCCACAGGGGTCCAAAGTTCACAGGGGTCCACAGCCTACAGGGGCCCACGGCCCACAGGGGTTCACAGGGGTCCACATGGGTCCACAGGCTACAGGGGCCCACGGCCCACATGACCTCTGCCAGGAGGCCAGTGGGACACATTGCACACCCTTGTATGAACAAAGAAGAGTTTCATGATTGTGCAGCGATCAAGCTGTAATCAATAGCATGTGATGGACACCAAGGAGTCCACAGGGAGGGCGGGGTTGGACTTTTACTGTCCAGTCTAGTCTAATTAGAATCAGATGTTCCTGCACATCAGCCCTTATCAGGACTGTCCTCTCCTATTCCTTATTTTACAAGTGCAAACAAAAACGTAAATAAAACACTTAGAAAACCAGAGTGCAGGACTGTTACATTTAAATGAACGTCTCTTTCATCAGTCCCTGCCAACACATTACTGTTTGAGCTTATTATAAACCTCTGTATTTCATAGTATGCTGGACTTTCTAATCTGGTTTCTGCACATTAGAGCACTGTTCACTACGTACTGGGAGCCTGTGGAGGAAACACCTATGAAGCATCCCAGACCAGTTCCTGATGTTCCAGATATGACAGCGTTCAGAGGAGAGATTAGGCCTTGATCATACAAGTTACTGAGCTACTTCCTAGTTCTCCTAGAGGACCTGTTGCATGTGCAGTAGGTCGACAGCTTCATGCGCCTCACTGAGCATGTGCACTGCTGCTCTTACAGTTTCATCACAGCGTGGACTCTGGGCTGTCTACAGAGGACTCCGTGCAGGTTCTGATGGACCTGGGCAGATGACAGAACTGACATTACTTGGGCCCCAGCATGCGCTCACATGTCAGTAACAATGTGAACGTATAACACTGGCCTTATACACTCCTAAGGATACGGACAGCTGTGGACACCACGTGTAGCTGCTGGCTGTTTCCTAATCTGCTTTAAATCCACTCAGAGGACTCTGTTCCATGCATGCCCAGTAAACTGGTGTCTTTGTAGTCTGCACATGCACACTGCAGCCCTGGTAGCATAGATTCCACCTGGACTCTGAGGAACCCATCTGTGGATGTTTGCCTGCAGCCCAGAATGTGTGTCCCAGCAGACTGTAGAGAAGACCGCGATGCTACAAGGGCTGTAGTGTGGAATTTGTAGACGCCAGTCAGCTGTACACATACTGAACAGAGTCCTCCAAGTGGATCAGAAAGCAGTATAATAATACCAACTATGCATCCATGGTGTCAGCAAGGCAATGAAATCACAGCTTAGCACCAGCCTACAGCTTCATTTATACTCTCTGACTTTAGTCTGTGCAGAGCGTTTGGCGTGGCCGATGCAGAGGACCTACGATGTGAGCATCTATGTTTGTGTACTGGTGTGTTGTGCTCATACACCACCACAGCGCTCCTCAGCAGTGGTGTTTCTACGCCACCGTGTTCAGTCTCTCTTTGTCTTTCTTTAAACAGCTGCTGAGTGGATCATGTTGGAGCTGGAGCATATAAACCCAGTTTTATTCAAAGTACTCGTCTCTACTTGGCTCTTGTGTTTGAATTATGATGAAGAAAGTCATCCTCGGTCATTAAACACGCCCTCGTCACCATGACAACACTCCCGATTCTGGATTATGGTGACATCATTTACAAAATGGCCCCAAGCGGCGTGCTCTCTTCATCCCTCAGCCATCCTCTTTGCCACTAATGCTCCTTCCACACTCCCCACTGCCACCTCTATGAACTGGTGAGGTGGCCTCGACTTCACCACTGGTTTCATTTCATTTACCAGTCAGTTCTGGCCCAGACGCCTCCCTGCCGGTCCTCTCGTCTTCAGGTCGCCCATAATCCTCATCATACTGGGTCCAGTGACTACATCAGGCTCATCATCCCAGTACTTCTACTATTTGTGGCCGTAACTCCTTTCGCTTTGCAGCAGCTAACCACTGACCATCTTACAAAACACCTTCAAACTTCCAGCTCTGACTGCGCTCACCTCCTTTGAGCTGAAGTCCAACAGACTGTAGTCGACTGTTGCTCCTGCTGATCACTTCTCCTACATACTTACATATAGACACACACACTGTCTTACACCTCACACACATCGTTTCTAACTCCCATGCACATGCCCACATGCTTCCTACATGTTTACTGGTGTTCTATGTTCATGTGTCTGTAGCCTCCATGTGTGTTTGTTCCTGCCGGCACCCCTCGGCCAGCTCATGTTTGCAAATGACAACTGGTTCTCAGACATTTTACCTGGTGAGATAAAGGTCAAATAAATAAATACAAACTCAGAGTAGTCTGTTGGTTGAACACAACATCATCAGAAAGTTGTCACAACTCAAAAAACATGATCTGAAAGTGTTCTGTTTCTGAGCCCAAACAATAGGTGATGGTGTGTTCAGTCAGGTACTGTGTGTACAATGCAGGGAGCAGCTACAACCACACTGGTAATTGTTGGTCACACACACACACACACACACACACACACACACACACAGGTGAGTTTGCGTTCATGGGCGTGGCTTGGAACACCTTGACGTCAGTTCAGCGCGGCTTTTGGTTCTGTGAGCTCTGAAGTCATCCGGTATCACAGCCATTTAAACTCCACTAACGATCCAGCCTAATTGCCCCTGACAGCAGCCTCCATGCCCTCGTCCCGCTCCTCTCTGCTCACGCGCTCTCGGCTCCAGCGGCGCTCCTGACATGCGGCGTCACTGCAAACCGACCGAGCTTCATTCCTGCTGTCACATCATCACATCGTTGCGGCGTGGCGCACTTGATCACCAGAACAAAAGCCAGAGTTCCGCTGCAGCTCCACAGACAGCAGCTTTACGCAGCGCCGGGCCTCCTGTCGTGCGCGCAGCCCGGAGCAGCAGCCAGCGGAGGATGGTGCTGAGGCGCCTCACGGCAGAGGAACAAGTTTGATACCTGTGGACATCAGAGCAGAACAGGTGAGAAGACTTCCTCTAAGCTCACCACCCAGCATGGCACTGACAGATGAAGCGATGACCTGTAAATGTTTGGCTGTCATGAAATAACCGCGACACTCATCAGGAGGCAGCAGCCTCTCATGGGACTGATGTGGGATCATTTTGGAGGAGAAAAGCACACGTTAGATTACTTCTAAGGAAAAATCCATTTAAGGCAGCTTTCTGTGTAGATTTAAAGTGTGTATCCGATGGATTTATGGTGTGAGGTGTATTTGAACCAGGACCAGTTTAAATCAGCTTCATGATCCTCAGCATCAGACCTGCCAGTGGGCTCCTTAGTGCAGCCGTTTAACACACTGATTTACAGACTTGAATTTACTTTTATGTTGAACACAATGCAGTGTTTAGTTTGATATTCTGTCCTCTAGACGGGAGCCTAGTGAGGAACCGGTCTGTTCTGATCCCTGGTGCAGGTCAGGAGCTGTTATTTCCACCCTAAAGCAGGAAGAGCAAACGAGCTGTGTGTTTGCTGATCAGCCTTTAAAGGCCTTCTGATGATGTCTCCAGCCTCCTCCTTACACACTGGACCTGTTTCTGTTGAAACCTTTTCTCAAACTCAGAGATACGAGCGTATCTGATGTAAGAGAATCTGATGCTGCAGTCGGGTTAAAAGTCAACATGAATGTCTGGATAAAGACGTCACACAGATCACAAGCTGAAAGAACGAGTTTGGTGAGAAGCAACACCTCTGACGATCCTTCAGAGAACCTGTCGGGCCGGTGATGGGTGGATTACGACCTGAAGGAAGAAGGAAAAGACTTTTAAGCAGACGGTTGAACAAGCAGCTGGGTGTGTCCTACGCTCGGTTTTGTGTCTGGATCATGAATGGAATCTGTGTGTCTGTAGATTCTATTTTGTAAAACTAACTAAAAATAAGTTCTTCATGTCCAGAATGTGTTTTCCATCTAAAGAGACATCTCTGCTGTTGGCGCGCCATGTTTGCTCGTTTTAATGAGTCACATTTTGTTATTTATGATCAGAGAGAACAAGTCTTCCTCACATCTGAAACCTTAGTTTGTTCTTTACACTGAAACACAAAATGAACAACAAAATAAACCAGAACACGACGGTGAGAATTCAGCAGCGAGTGCCTGAAAAATGACACAACAGAAAAAACTGAACATATTAGAAATCTGCAAAATAATAATAATAATCATAATAATAATAATAATCATAATAATAATGATGGTTTTATCAGAAACTGTCGTTTTATATTCGTGGTCGTAAAAGAACTCATCCTATTTATGTCTGTGTGCTATTTGACATTATCTACAGTTTGTTCTTTTTTGTTTAACAGTCCAAATCTAAATGAAAACTTTTTCTGCTGTGATTTTATTGGATATTTTCACTTATTTAACAAAACAGGACAATCTGTGAAAAAACAGTCAAACAAAAGTATTGTTTTTAAAATCCTTAACATACATATTTTTTCTTTTAAATAATGCTAAATGTCTGTAAGGAAGCATTTCTTTCACATTTAAATCCAGTAAAAATGATCCATTTTTATGGTCAAACATTGTAAAAGAACCAGTTTCCATTTTTCCAGCTGTCTAATGTGGACGTTATTTGCGTTCTTGTCCTGTTCTTGTACAGCTAACATGTAGATTTAAACTTTATTTTCTGCGAAAGAAAGTTTTTAAAGATTGCGGTTTAAAAACTCGTAAATGTTTGTTTTTGTGTTCCTTCAGCCCGACCATGAGGGACAGACTGAGCAACCTGCAGGAAATGTCCAGTGGACAGATGGAGCCAATGGAGTACGAAGAGTCCACTGTCTCCGAGACCTTCAGCAACGTGGACCTGGAGGACGAGCTGCCTCACGAGGCGGTGGTGTTCGATGACAACAGCCCTGCTCTGGCCGAGGTCTTCTCCCAGTCGCAGGACATCCACAGGGAGATCCAGCTCATCCGCCTGGAGGTCAAACGGCTCCGTGAGCAGAACTCCCGCATGATGCAGGGCACCACCACCATGAGCACCATTAAAAGGGACTCCAACGCCATCGGTGCCGACATAAAGAAGCGGGCCGAGGATGTTCTCGCACGTCTGCACGACATGGACGGCACTGCCCACAAGCTGGAAGAAGCTCACGGCTCAAACTCCGCCGCCACGCGTATCGCCAGAACCCAGTACGCCTGCCTCAGCAACGGCTTCCGCGACGCCATGTTTGACTATAACGAGGCCGAGATGAGTCACAGGGAGAACTGTAAGGCCCAGATCCAGAGGCAGATGGAGATAGTGGGGCGTGAGGTGACGGGGGAGGAGGTGGAGGAGATGATAGAGAAAGGCCAGTGGAACATCTTTAACGACAACATTGTGACTGAAGGGAAAACGGCCCGATCGGCTCTGTCCCAGATCGAGAGGCGTCATCAGGAGCTGGTGGACCTGGAGACCCGTATCAAGGGCATCCACGAGATCTTCCTGGACATCGCTCTGCTGGTGGAGGAGCAGGGCCCCATGCTGAACTCCATCCAGACCAACGTGCAGAAAACCGATGCGGGCATCCAAGAAGCCCTGGTCAAACTGGGCCGGGCCAAACGCCATGACGGTAACAACCCGTTCAAAAAGATGTTTTGCAGCTGTTTCCCATGTGTCAACTAATGACTGCAGAGACAGAAGAGTGGAGGGACGGCGAGACAGGCAGTCTGCTGTCCAGACTCACACACTGAACGCCTTCATTCGTATTTATCACTGCGGCCTGTGCGCTTCCTGATCGTTTTATCCTGAAGTACAATAAAGGTTTAACCTCCTGTGCTTGGGTGTTGTGTTTTAACTCTGAGTGATTCATTAAAGTCTCTGATGCTTGTCTGGAATAATGATGAACTACACCTGAGCTGAGCTGTGAAGCACACTGAAACAACACGTTGGAAATATTCTACATGTTTTTAAAGCATGACAGGAATTTAAAATAAATAAAATGCAGTGACTTTCAGAAATGTTTTCCAAGGAATGCTGCTGTACCACGTGGTTCCCGTTGCAGTGCGGTGCTGTTATGGACGGCTTCAATCAAACAATTCATACCTTTAATGATTTTCTAGTACCCGGCCCGAGTTCTTCCCGTCAGGTGAGTTGACACGAGGCTCGTTGGCACGTTGTAGAACTTAGTTGTCCTCGATTAGTCTGGAAGTATTTTCTGCATCATGATGTGTACGAATTATGAAATGACTTGGCTGATAGTAACAAGCCAGCCACATTGCACAGCGCCGGCACAATCCTCCACCACGTCCTCATTTGTCTTGTGAGTCAGCATTCTGACTTGGCCTCAGTCTAGAAGGTGTGCAGGGATCTCACTGCAGGTTTCTGTGCACAGCCTTCCTGTGACCTCTGGCTGACACGACCTTGTTGTTTTCTGTGGTGTCTTGTGTATAATATAAAAAACATATTAAAATATTGCCCGTGTCTGGTGATACTCTTGTTTTCACAGACAATCTACATCAGCACACAAGACGCTGGGCTGAGATGTGTTATCTGGTGAACAGACGGACACGGCGCTGGTTCTGTCCATCTCACATCATCATATTTTAAGAACCATTTCTGCTCAGTCGTCTTTGACTTTCCTGATTTTTTAATGCATAAAATATGGATATTTCAAAAAGATATCTGTAATTTTTTTGAAGTGCTATGTCCAGGACTTCCCAGATATTTATGTTTTAAAATCGACCACTTGGTGCAGTTTTTTTGTGCTTTGACATTTAAGGGTTTTTGTTTCAGCGACATCGATTCAGAATCTAATTGAAATATAACTAAGAAAAAAAAATATTTTTATTATGAGCATGTTTTCATTTTAAGACCCAGACATGAGCATAATTTAACCAAAGTCAGAGACGTGTTGGGATTGTTCTGGAGGAAGACTTTCATGCCTCGACATATATCTGATGGTAATCTAACGTCCGTATGTGAGCCAGACTGAACGCTGAATGGATTCTCGTGACCACTGTGGAAACTGTTCAGTGAGATCAAAACAGATTTTCGTGCTCTGAGGTACGTTAGGAATGAGCCTGTTCGACCAAAGCCATCGTTAAAGTGTGAGGACATGTATGTTTCTAGAAACGGCTTCATAGTTCACCGCTGAGCGTCTCTTCCAGTCAGTAGGAGGGCCACGCTTTGAACTGAACATGGCTCAGGCTGAGGTTAAGGTTTCTTTATTGCTACCCCAGGGGTAAATATGTTGTGCAGACAAAGCAAAAAAAAACAGAAAGCAACACAACATGAACTGAAAAGAGGACATTCCAGTTCAGCCAACAGACCCTGTCCATGAGATGTGATGTCCAAGTGGCTGAAAACAACCTGCATTCCTTCTGACTGTTGTTGCTTCATGTGGAGAACCATTCTGCTTCTACCTGGGTTCTGCTATCTACCAGGACTGGGTGCCGTACATCCTCAATCAGACAGCAAAGCTCAACAAAAAGAACTTCTGTTTTCTGACCAAGTACTTCACACTAAAAGTGTTCTCTGTGTTTCCCTGTGTGTTTACATACAGGTCCGTATGGTTCTACTGCCGATTCTGGATCGATGGGAAGGTGAGAAAGAACTGAAAATGTCAGGATTTTATCTTTAACAGGTCTCGAGATGTTGTCATTCAAACAACCTCTAATTTCAATGTGTGAAAAAAACGTGCTGACTGTAGATCAGCGAGTGACTAAAAGCACCTGATATAGAAAACGAGCAGAGACACCAGGAAGGACCAGAACCTCATCACACAGCAGCTACAAGCAGGTCAGAGGCAGAAAGATCCTGATGAATGAAACCCTGATGAGAACAAAGATCCCTGGAATGTCACACACACACATCCAACCACAGATCAACACACACACACACACACATCCAACCACAGATCAACACACACACACACACACACACACACACACACACACACACACACAGGTGTCCTTAATCAGCTGATAGGTGGAAGCTTGTTCTTCAGGTGCTTGTGTCTAATCTCCACACTTCCCAGTTTCTCTCTCGCTCTGGGTGCATTTTCTGACAGGAACTTCCTTCTTAATCGAATTGTTAAATTCCTGATGTGAGCAAACCCTGAAAAGAAAACCCTCCTCTGACTTTAAGGAAGTGTCGGCGCTGCAGCGAGGCAGTCGGTGTCGCTCAGCAGCAGCAGCAGCAGCACATGCTGAGCAGCTCTCCTCATCACACCCACTGAGTTATGCTTTGGACCACATCAGTCCAATGATAAAGGACTTACTTGCTTTCAGATCTTGTGGGAGCCAGTCAGAAGAGGTAAGACAGTTTAATTTGACAATCTGATCATATCTGATTGATGTTCGTAGCAGAAGTGTGGCCACCTGGAGACACCTGGAGACACCTGGACACCTGATGAGACTCCTCGTCATTCAGCCAGCGCTCTGCTCCAACAAACATGAACTTAAAGCCACTTTCTAATTCATTGTGACGACTGTTAAAAACAGATTTTAAACAGACGGGATGAGGAACCTGATGTTCTGTGTAAAGTCTCAGACTGTGTGGAAGGATAGCGGCCGTTCAGACGCCACCTCTCTGGAGGTTTGGTCCAGCGTGAGCTTCACAGGATGAATGTATGAAAACTGCTCAGACAGATAAATGATCTGACTCAGAACTAACTTATGTAACGAACCACGTTTCAAAGCAAAAAGCTGCTTTTCAGTAAGCTGGTGTCTTCCTTGTTCCTGGTTCAGATAAAGACATTCCAGCGATGCACTGAGCTGTGACTGCTGTCATTGTTAGAGCTGGAGCACTTCTACAACACTGGCTTGTTGATGGGCTTTTCCAGCTGTCTCTGGGTACATTTAATTATTTTATGTACAGTAAGAGTGGATTCTAGCACAGCGATCAGAGCGTTTGCTGTTTAAATACAGTTTCTTCCAAGTTTCCTGTTTGTTTTCTGTATATGTGCGATGTGTGCCTCCAGCATGTAGAAGGCTGCTGGTCCTCATTCTGAGCTAAGGTTTGATCTCCTGGATGAGAACTTGCACATACATGACAGTGAATCAGACCAAAGCTAGACGAGAGATGAACGTAGTAACCATCATTTTCTCTTCCAATGGTCTCTCAGGCAGGATGCGGGACATGCTGGAGAGGCTGCAGACCATCAGTGAGGACCACGAGGACGAGGAATCAGAGTTCTATGGGCCTGAGTATGACGTAGATAAGGTGACTCTGTCTCAACAGGCAGTCATCTTTGAGAACTCCACAGCTATTGATGAGGTCCTGAAGGAGGCCCAGTCCATACGCAAGGAGATCTCCTTGCTCCAGTTGGAGGTGGAGCGCATGTGCATGCAAAACGAACGCTTCGGCACCTCTGTGCGCCGCCTCACCCTTCTTAAAAAGGACTGCGACTCCATCGCCAGAGGGATCCAGCAGCGTGCCGAGGCTCTGTATGGCCGCCTGCAGGACCTGGGGAAGACATGCAGCCGCCTGGAGGAGACAGAAGGTCCCAACTCTGCTGTTAGTCGCATCGCCCGTGCTCAGCACAACACGCTGAACCACGCCTTCCACGCCGCCATGAGTGACTACAGCAAAGTCGAGGAGAAGCAGAAGAACACATGCAGGAGGAGGATCCAGAGGCAGGCGTCCATAATGGGGACAGACATCAGCGACGAGCAGCTGGATGTGCTGGTGGACAAAGGCGGTGAGGGCTGGACCGAGCTGTCCCAGAGCCTTCAGCCACAAGCTGCTCGCACATCCCGCTGGGCCTTGTGTGAGATCAAAGGCAGACACAAGGAGCTGGTGGAGCTGGAGGCCCGGCTGAAGGAGGTCCACGAGCTGTTCCTGCAGATGGCCATGCTGGTGGAGGAGCAGGGATCCATTCTCAACAACATCGAGGTTCACGTGTCTCGCACTCAGGAACACGCTGAAAGAATCAATGTTCACATCAAGAAGGCCATCCAGTACAAGAAGAAGAACCCCTTCCTGCAGTGCTGCCCCTGCCTGCCCTGCTGGAGAAACAACTGAAGCTTTTAGGAGTTCGTTTGACATTCTGCAGTTTTATAGATGATTAAAATGTAAATAAAGTCTTCATCATGTACAGTAAAAAGATCTGAAACTGAGCTGACAGATAATGTGCAATATGCTGAACTTATAGTCAACGCTGCAGAAACACTCGTAGCACAACGTCTGATAGAAACCTGTGTGTGTGTGTGTGTCTGTGTGTGTGTGTGTGTTACAATCTGTTTACATTTTAATGGTTCACTGACACACAATAAACGCTCTTGTAGTAAATTTAAATCCGTTTGTCATCATTCGGTGAACGTCAGCTGAGCTCCTGTGAAGGCGGGTCCTGTGTTCTGTAGAACTCTGAACGGGTCGGAGTCATGAGAGCGGCGGGTCGAAGGTCACGATGGAGTGAGAGACAAACTGCAGCTCGTGGTGATAAATCCTGAGACATTGTGGGTAGACTGTGGGTAAGGTTTGATGCAGGAGGTGAATGCATGGCCGGCAGAAGAATGAGGAAAACCTGCTGGTTCCTCCACATTATTGTTTCAGTCTGACGGAGCGGACAGGAGACGTATCATCTGATCCACTGAAATCACTTCCTCGGTGTAGCTCAAGCAGCTTGTAGGGAGATGTTGTGTCTGACTCTGTGAACCTGCTGGCATCCTTCCTCCTCCATGCTGGGGCGTTCTCTACACAGAATGTCTGTACGCTAGCCCGAGCCTGTTGTGCACCAACATTAGCTCACACATCTTCTACTGACAGATCTTCAGACAAGGATATTTGTCATGTTGTAAGACCAGCGGTTCAGTGAACTGAGGTTCTGGTTTGGTTGCCACGATCCATTTTTTCATAATAAAGAATAAATAACAGAATGACTGTGTTGGTAGCGTCTGCCTTCTTTACCGTGAATCACTGGTTAATCATTTGACCTTTCCAGCATGTGTTACAGCCACTGAAGGTAATACAGTTGATCAGAACCGCTGGGATGAAGGAGAAGCCTTGAAGACACACCGTCGGTGCCATGTGGACAGAACCGTCAGTGTTTTAGTCAGAAACATAGACGACACATGTAGTCTGATTATTGTTGGTGTTATGGAGCTTTAATCATCACCTGCATCTCTTCTCCTGGACGTTTTCAAGCACAAGTCACTCAGATGAAACAACAGCAGACATGACAGCAGGTGTTTCCCAGACACACCTGTACACACCCAGCAGGTAGATCTCACTGGACACTACCTGTGATGTGGAGCATGGGCTACTCACACAAACAAGGGACGAGATGGGCTGGCTTTACAGAACCTACAGTGGGTCTCAGTTTAGATTCATTTACCCCTGAAACAGCCTGAAGGTGGTGGACCAGCTGGTCAAACGGACCGAGCCCCTCCGAACAACGCCTCTGATGTTATCTCAGTGAAACGTAGCTGTTGTGTCAAAACTACGGAGGAAGCTATTTACAACATGTCACCTAGTTCATTAAACCATTAGAGGACTGGGATCTCCCCAGCGCCCCCAGTGCCCCCAGTCCTCCTGCAGGACGGAGCAGCCGGTACTGACTCCAAGTCTCCCAAGTTTCTGTAGAGGACTCTGTCCGGTACCGTGTCGTGCATGACTTCGTGCATGACTTCGTGAACGGTTCGGGTCTCTTCCGTGTCGCTGGCTTTGCTGTTTGGTTGCAGCTCGCGGCCAGAAATAGCGAAACACTCGAGCGCGCGCGTGTGAGTGGAAACCGAAACTTCTGCTAACAGTTAGCATGCTAACGTCAGAACACCGACCCGAGACCGGCAGTCGGTACTGGCGTGGAAACGACACACACAGCAGGGATTCTCTCCAAGCCACAGGGTTAGTTTGTGTCTGTGGTGTTGCCTCCACCAGTACCGCAGGAGCTGGAGCAGAAGTTGGACTTTAAAGCTGGAAACCGACGAGAACGATATGAGCGCAGAAGTCGGATATGAGTTAGCCGCTAGCTGCTAACACTGCGCTAGCATCTCAGCTGAGTCGTGCTCGGTGATTATTCGTCGTTCGTGTGGAGCTGCTGGAACATTACCGTGAATTTGTGGCTCTGCAACGACCCGCGGGTCAAACTTAAACCAAATAAAGCGTCAGTGGGTTCAGGAGCACCGAGTATTTGGAGGGGAAATGCGGCGGGATGCGGTGTATACACCAGGATGGCCGAGTGGTTAAGGCGTTGGACTTAAGATCCAATGGACATATGTCCGCGTGGGTTCGAACCCCACTCCTGGTAGAGTTCTTTTGTTGGTGTCTGTGTGACATCATCTACATTATGTACATCCAGATGTATAGAATAACAGCAGCTTCCACACAGAGCAGCACCGACACAGACAGAACCAACAGAACACACAGGTTCTGTATTATAATGCGTCCAACACGCTGTGCCCTGGTTCCTAATTAGCCTACCGCTATATAAATACAAATACTGTGTTTATTTATTATTATTGCTCGTTTGGGAATGGCGTTGTTGCTGTAAGTTAACCTCAGTAACACATTATTGTTGCTTCAGTGGTGCCAGATAATCTGGAGACTAAAACAATGTTAATAAGAAGAAATCACACAGTTTAAATTTACCACCTCCTGCTGGTTCACACACAGCGTCCACACATGAGCCATAGTTTGTGAATACACATGAAGTGTTTTCAGCTTAACAAAATAAAAGGAACAAGCTAGATTTTAAATCCATGTTTGTTTGTTTTTCCATATACTGCATTTGTTCATAAGGTAGAATTTAATTGTTTTGAATCTTTTATGGCCTGTTGCACCACTGTGACACAAGAGGGCGCTACAAGCCCTTCTAGCTGTCACTGGGCTTGGGTCCAGCACTTCTCCACCAGAGGCCTACACACTCTCACCCTGTAATTTCACAGCCAGGGCGATGCCGTCGACTGGTCGATACCCAGTCATCTGCGGCTGCCACAGGAGAAGCTTCACAGAGACCAGCTGCAGCAGTAGTCTGCTGCGGTGCACCTACACAAGTCCAAGAGGTGTACATCCAAAACAGGCTTCACAAAATGTTCTTGAACCCAACGCAGTGAAATGCCTCACACGTGCAGCAGCTTGGTGAGAAACTGCAGTAGAAAACTTTGCGCCTGTTGGAGGCTTGAAGACTTCAGACTTCCTCATCTCTGTAAAAACGTCTGTGAACGTCTACGTGTCCTCGCCCTCCTGCTCCCTCGACTCACCGCCAAACAAATATGCTGTCACTTGATAGGTGTCGGAGGCCCAAGAGGACACTCATTTGTGAAGCGGAGCGTCTTCTTGTGTGAAGAAGCATCCACAAAGATCCCTGACCACCGAGAAGCAGGAGGGAGAGGATGAGGGTTTACGATGAGAGACCAACATCTCTGCATCCCCACAGCCGCAGAGACTCTCCAAAGAGCCCTGATCTATGATTCAGTCCCTCAGGTAACAGAAAAGCTGTTTCTTTTCATGCTGACATCACTCCATATGACAGACACAAGAGGTGGTGCCCTCCTGTATTAGACTGGATTAGATCAAACCTTCTTGGTGATACGGGAATAATACAGGAATAGCTGCTGCAGGAATTATTGTTCCTACTGGTTTTGTAGTTATTTTATATTAGGCTTCAATAAAGTTCTCCTGATTCAGACTTTTTTTTAATGTGGGCATCTTTTTAAAATGTTTTTTTTTTTTCATATTTCAACTATAATTTAAATGTTTTGCTGCTTTCATTTGCATTTTGTGTTTTAAAGGTGCCATTTCAATAAAGTTCATTATGAATAATAAGAGAGCTTGTCTGATTGAAACATTCACTAAAAAAAGGGAAAACTCAGACATTTATAGGATTGAAAAAAGTTCTATAAAAAACTGTGTCTGAGGTTTAACTAGAAACTGTTTTTATTTCATGTGTCAGTGAGAATCTTGATTAGTTTGGTTCATATAAAGTCAGAAAATAGTGAAAGAAGTTGATCAGAGCTCAAGATGATGTTCTCACATGTTGTTTCCCCCCAATATTCAAAAATGGTCAGTTTACCAGAAAATACTCAATTTTTTCTTTAAAAAATCTCAGATGAATTCAGTAATTAATTCAGTAATTCTGATGAGTGTTAACGAGCTCTCACGCTGACCAGTGTCACACATTTTCTTTTTGGTGGTAGAAAAGTGAAGAAACCAGCAAACATTCAGATGTAAGATGCTGGAATCAGAATATTCTGACTAAGAAAAACTGGTCAATTAAGAACTGATTAGTTAGTTGTTGATTAGCAGTTGTCAACTAATTGATGAATCACTACACCTCTACAGTTAATGACTGAAGTACGTTTTGCCGACTTATTCCAGTGCATTTATTTGTAATTAGGTTTATATGCTTTCAAGTTACTGACGTTCATCACGGACAGCTGAACTAATAAAAATGTCATTTGTTCATAGTTGCAGTAAAGCTCCTGGATCGTCCACTTGCGGCCCTCTGACGTGAATCCGTCGGCCTCGTAAACCTGAGAGCTATTTTTTTCCACAACCAGGGTTTTCTATTAAAAGCTGCTGGTTTTCCAGTGAGAGTCACTGGTTTTGTTGGGGTTCTGTCACGTGACGAGCACCGCGCCATGTTTCCATCTCCGCGTCAGGAAAACTTTTACAGCCGGAGAGAAAAGCTGCAGACAGCCGCCAAGGTACCGCAGTGGAGGCTGTGCATCCGGTTAGAGCCTTCAAAATAAAACCGGGACTGCCGCCGCTTCAGGGCAGCATCTCCCTAAAGTTATTACTGTCACGTCTGAGTTGTAAAGTAATCTATTTAATAATTGATAAACGTATTGATTAACTAGATTACATAAACTATTTCAAACGCCACATTACAAGTGAAGGCGTTGACTGTGGTCTCGTGACTACTTTACTTTGAAGGAGCGGATCCAGTACTTCCGCTGTGTTCGGCTAGCTCTGTCCAACTTAACGTGGCAGAAAGCAACAGGGAGAAAGAGTCCAGAAAGCAACAGGAACAAAGTTGTGGGACCTGAGAGAACAGCGCTGCGGTGTTCAGCCGTGAAATCTAACAACCGTCTCCCTCCGTGGGCCGCGGACACGCAGCCTGGTGCCTCCAGGCCACGGCCGTGGAGGAAGGTGGAGGAAGGTGGAGGAGAAGCTTCATCTGCTGTGGCCGCGGTGCGGAGCGTGGATGCGCGTCAGGACGGGGACGAGCTAAGTTAGTTGGAAACGGAGAAAATGCCTCAAACTGACCGAACTAACGGCCTTTGAAGACGCTTCGTCACGTTCCGGGTGTTCTTGTGTGTCGACACGTTTCGGACCGGTTCCGTGGGAGCTCGTGTCCTGAGCCTGACAGCGGAGGTGAGTGTGTGACTGGAATCCACGTTATTCTGAAGTTAGAAGTTCAACCGCTGAGAAAGCAGCCACATGACCACCGGACCCACTCAGGCCCAGGTCCTGCACGGAGCTCAGGCTCGGTTCTTCAGTGCAGCCAGGTCGTCCTGTGGTTGGAGTCCCAGTCATAGAGATCAAACATTAACCAGAGGGCCACGGCTGCTGTCCACAACCTACCGTGTGTGTGTGTGTGTGTGTGTGTGTGTGTGTGTGTGTGTTTGCTGCAGTCAGGGAGGCGGCAGGCTGGTCAGAACCAGCACAGGAGGGATTTATTGGGCTCAATCTGCTTCCATCTACACTCCTGTCTTGTGCAAAGCAGCCAAACTAGAACATGAACTTGTGAGGACTTCACAGAGATCCAGATCCAGATCCAGATCCAGGCTGTGAGCCGTCAGCGGTTCTGCCTTGACTGTCAGAACCACTCCTCTCTCAGACAGAGGAAGTGAAATTGTGAAGATACGGGCCAGACGGATGGCTCTGCCTCCTTCTTCACTTTACAGTTGTTATTTTTGGGTCTTGCATCATCCCTTAAGAACT